ATACTAACGTAATCGTACTACTGGTAGTAGTGGTAGTGATACGAGTACTACTCGCAATGACACTAAGAATAACAATGGTAAGGTTTTTTGTCGTAGTCGTAATCGTAGCCGTAGTAGTTGTAGTAGCCGCCGTAGTGATAGCAGTAGTAGTAATCGTCGCCGTATGATTCGTAGTAGCAATAGTAGCGGTAATAATAATAGTTGTTGTAGTTGTAATAATCAGGTTGGAAGTAGTAATGAAAGTAGTAGTGATGGTACTCGTCGTTCGGAAGTGTGAGTCATGAAAGTCGTATGAGTGACAGTAGTGGCCGTGGTTGAAGGACACCATGCAGGAAGGGCTGGTGGAGAAAGGGGTGAGCAGGAGAAGCAGGACTGCCACGACCACCACCCCGTGTTAAAGACATGAAAAGGCGCGACACACATTAGGGAAACGCCTGTTGCATGGGCGCATCGCTTAGCATTGCTTAGCACTGTTTGGAATTGCTTGGCATTGCTTGGCATGGGGTGGAATTGCTTGGCATTACTTGCCATTGCTTGGCATTGCTTGGCGCTGCTTGGCGGCACCGCTTGTCATTGGTTGGCATTGTTTTGAATTGCTTGGCATTGCTTGGCACTGTTTGGCATTGCTTGGCATTGCTTGCCATGGGGTGGAATTGCTTGGCATTACTTGCCATTGCTTGGCATTGCTTGGCATTGCTTGGCACTGCTCGGCATTGCTTGGCATTGTTTGGCATTGCTTGGCATTGCTTTGCATTGCCCGGCATTTCTCGGCATTGCTTGGCATTGCTTGGCACTGCTTGGCATTGCTTGGCATTGCTGGGCATTGCTGGGCATTGCTTGGCATTGCTTTGCATTGGTTGGCATTGTTTGGCATTGCTCGGCATTGCATGGCATTGCTGGGCATTGCTGGGCATTGCTTGGCATTGCTTTGCATTGATTGGCATCGGTTCGCGTTGCTTGGCATTGCTTGGCGTTGCTTGGCATTGCTCGGCCTTGCTCGGCATTGCTTGGCATTGCATGCCATTGCTTGCCATTGCTTGGACCTGCTTTCCATTGCTGAACATGGGCGGTCATTTATTGGCATTGCTTGGCATGCTTGCCATTGCGTTGCATGGGTTGGCATTGCTTGGCATTGTTTGGCATTGCTTGCATTGCACTGCATGGGGTGGCGTGGCTTGGCATTGCTTGGCATTGCTTGGCATTGCTCGGCATTGCTCGGCATTGCTTGACATTGCTTGCCATTTTTTGGCATTGCTTGGCATTGCTTGGCATTGTTTGGCATTGCTTGGCATTGCTTGGCATTGTTTGGCATTGCTTGGCATTGCTCGGCATTGCTTGGCATTGCTTTGCATGGCTTGGCATTGCCCGGCATTGCTTGGCATTACTTGGCATTGCTTGGCATTGCTTGGCTTTGCTTGGCGTTGCTTGGCATTTCTCGGCGTTGCTTGGCATTGCTTGGCATTTCTTGGCATTTCTTGGCATTGCTTAGCATTGCTGGGCATTTCTTGCCATTGCTTTGGGCAACCAGGGGCGGTGAACCCGAGGAACCCGGGGAACCCGAAGAACCTGGAGAACCCGAGGAACCTCCGGGGAACGGGCAACGTATCAATAGGAGGCACCGGGGGCGGGGAACCCGAGGAACCTGGGGAACCCGAGGAACCTCTGGGACATGGACAACGTACCGCGAAAAGTAACAATAGGAGGCACCAACCTGGAACCAAGTAAGAACCCCGTAGGCAAGTCTACTTGGGGGAAAAAGAAGAGGAGTAGCAGACCTCATTTTCAATATATGCGGCTGGTTGAGAAACGGGTTCTCATTGGAATTCGATTGGACATAGTCATGCCTTAGATTCAGAAAGTGGCCACTGGAATTGAAACAGAGCCTCATAGAATTCAATAGGATTGTGGCAGGCCCGAGAATTAAAGGATTCGAAGGGGATCCGAATGCGCATCTCGCAGGAATTCAATAGACATGATCCCAGGCTCAAGTAGTTTCTATAGGAGTTGGATGAATCGTTCAAAAGAAATCCAATCTGAATGGATGCCCCTCGATCAAAAATATATCAGGTGAATGCAACGACCCCAATGGGAATTCAAGAATGGAGCAATAACCAATGTCAGGGGACTTCAACTGGATTCGACTTGGGAGACAGTAGGAGTTCGAGAAGGATGTAGCAAACCCATCTTATGAGGATCCTGGTTGCATTTGAAAAGGAAACGATAACACTGCAATGGAACTGCAAGAGGCCCGTGATTCATAATATTTTGTTTGAATGCGATGAGGAAACCATGACAACTCCTGGTCCTCGACCGAATATGCATTGGAATTCGGTGACCTTGCAAGAACTAAACTTCAACACGCAGATCAGAAAGACACCCCTTCGAAAACGAACTTAGCACAACTCAAGAAACCACACCGCTAAACAGAAACATATTCCCCCTCCCCCCCCATTCCTCAGCCCTGCCGAGTAGTAAGATGCGGTGCGCATGGGTTGATCTAAAAAGTACTTTCCCTACGAACTCCTGCCACAACCTAAAATGCGGAGAACACGCGCGCCGCCGCGCGAGAGTTTCAACACAATTCAAGGACCATTGGCCGTCTGAACATTACAAGACATAGCTGTTCAAACACTATCAAACACCCATGAACCCGGCGCGACCCCAATCAGGGAAACGCCTCCTATTGCATAGGCGCAAAGCTTGGCAATGCTCGGCATTGCTTGCCATTGCTTCGCATTGCATGCCATTGCTTGGCATTGCTTGGCATTGTTTGGTATTGCTTGGCATTGCTTTGGGAAGCCGAGGGGACCTCGGGAAACTCCGAGGAACGGGCAACGTAAGGATAGGAGGCACCGGGGGCGGGGAATCAGGGAACCTCCGAAGAACAGGCGAGGTAAGAAGAGGAGGCACCAACCTGGAACCAAGTAAGAACCCTTGAGGCAAACCTAACTGGGGAATAATTATGTTCTTAAAAAATTGCCGGACTTCTGCGCGCACTTGCGAACATAATCTGTCAAATAAATGCATGCTGGCCAAAAATGCGCGCATGTCGAGCATGTTAAAAGACCATCGCGCGATCCCCAACTATGTCAACTAATACCACGCATGCCACACGCACGCGTCTCCGCACGCGCACGTCGACATCCGTACACAGCCGTTGGTTGTCTAATCATTTGGACACCGAGGTGTCCAACACACCTACGGAACACTGAGACATCAATTGCGCATTTCCGCGGCATCCTCGTCTGCATATTCGTTGTCATCGTCATCGTCGCCATTGGCATCATCCTCATCGTCGTCCCCACCACCACCACCATCAGCATCTTCATCCACTCATCATCAGCAGCATCATCGCCAGGGTCATCATCTTCATCGTTGATGTCGGTGCTCTCGTCACATTTCTGCGAGCATGCATTTCCGAATCACCCCTACTAACACCATCGTCATCATCATCACCACCATCATCGTCATCATCATCATAATCGTCATCATCATCATCATCGCCAGGGTCATCATGCCTTCATCATTATCATCACCATCAGCTTCATCACCATCTCCATCGTCGTCGACATCGTCTGCACCGTCGTCATGGGCATCAACATCATGATAGCCGTCGTCATCGTCGCTGTCGCCGCCCAGCTTGGTCTTGCTAACACGTGGCGGGTGGCTGGGTGGGATGTTGCACGAGCATTGGAGGGTGTAACGCGCAAATGCGGTCAAAACTAATTGCACGACATAGGGTGCACGACATAGCTTGCACCACACAGCTTGCACCGTATGGGTCCATGCTGCAGTCCATGAAGTGCACCACATCTACTGCACCGCATACATTGCATTGCTTACGCAAGGTCGCTAATATGACATCATATACTTTGCGACAGATCGGTCGAGCCACAACCGTATTACCAATAATTCTGCGCATCGAGAGCGCAAGAACTTACCGCTTGAGGGCCACCATGGCAAACATCATTAGTGTCTTACATTTGGGTCAGCCATCGGCTCTGCCGTCATTTGCCGAGGTCGAGAGGATGGATACAAGGGATCACCAGGGACTGTTCGGGCCTAGCGCCCGCGGCATGCGGGATCAATTCTGTTGTCATGTGTCGAGGCCGCGAAGCGGGATAGAAAGGATCACCAGGGACTGCTGGGGCCTGGCGGCCGCGGCATGCGGGATCGGTTCTGCCGTCATTTGTCGAGAACATGAGGTGGGATACTAGGGATCACTCGGAAGACTTGGGGCTTGGCGGCCGCGGCATGCTGGGCGGACGAAATGGTCAAGAGCTGTCGTTCAGAACTCACACACCCCAACCGAAACATGCAACCGGTGCGAGGCGCGAGGTAGCCAGCAATTGCGAAACAGCATTGGCACAAGAACCTGTGGTGGGCTCGAAACCACTGCGCACAGCGAGAAGCAGCGAGCTTGTGGCACAGATGGAGGTGGGCCGAAAAAGGCAGGCGGGTGCGCGGGGGGGGTCAGGGAGAACGGAAAACCTCAAACAGTGACGAAGAAGACGGAGCCTTCTTCACGACGACGCGGCAGCCTTCCGCAGCGGCTCGCTTGGGCCCGCCAGCGCGGCGCGCCGCGCCGAGAACGAGGGCGCCATGTGCGCGCGACCTTGCGCGGGCAGCCTGCGCGCGGATGTCCGCGCAGTCGGCCCCTCCGGTGTTTGTAACGCTGCCCCAGGCGGTTCGATGATTCTGGCTGCCGAGGGCCTGCTTTTGAAGGGGCCCAGGGACACACAAACAAACAGACACAGATCCAAGGATTGTCCATACTGTTCCATATCTTCTGGAGCTTCGTCTCCCCATCCACTTTCCAAATCTTCCCATATTTTTCTGGGAATCGGCGACTCTTTGTGTCTCTGCATGTTGTTCCCTCCTGAGACCTCCGAGCTCCGAGCTCCGATGCCTGAGCCGAGGGGAATTCGGGACGGCCCTGCGGCTGCTGCGCGGGCCCCCCCCCCCGCAAGAGCGCCGGGTCCTCCCCCCGTCTTAGGGAAATGAGGAGAGACCAGCTCGCCATCGTCCCATGACTCCCAGGCCCCCTCGCGGCGTGAAACAAATTATCCTGGCGAAGGGCCCAACCATATGCAGCTGTGAGTATCGCCGTTGTGGGTATCGCCTTCGGTGGATCTCTTTATGGGGCCACGAAGCGCGTCAAGGGTGTGCCGAAAAGGGGCGGGGACGCATGCGGGCACAGCCATTGGGGCCTTCAGTGGCGCTCTATATGAGGCCACGAAACGAGTGAGGGGGTTGCCGAAATGGAGCGGAGCCGCCATGCGAACGTCGCCACTGGGGCCTTCGGTGGAGCTCCCTATGGGGCCACGAAGCGCTGTGCTGGGCGGGGGAGACGCATGCGAACTGCGCCACTGGAACCTTCGGTGGAGCTCCCGCCACGAAGCGCTGTACTGGGCGGGGGAGACACATACGAATTGCGCCGCTGGGACCTTCGGTGGAGCTCCCTTTGAGGCCACGGAGCGCTGTACTGGGTGGGGGAGACGCAGGCGAACTGCGCCACTGGATCTTTCGGTGGCGCTCCCTCTGGGGCCACGAAGCGCTGTACTGTGCGGGGGAGACGCATGCGAACACCGCCACTGGAACATTCGGTGGAGCTCCCGCCACGAAGCGCTGTACTGGGCGGGGGAGACACATACGAATTGCGCCGCTGGGACCTTCGGTGGAGCTCCCTTTGAGGCCACGGAGCGCTGTACTGGGTGGGGGAGACGCAGGCGAACTGCGCCACTGGATCTTTCGGTGGCGCTCCCTCTGGGGCCACGAAGCGCTGTACTGTGTGGGGGAGACGCATGCGAACACCGCCACTGGAACCTTCGGTGGAGCTCCCTATGGATGCGAACTGCGCCACTGTGACCTTCGGTGGAGCTCCCTATGGGGCCACGAAAGGCTGTACTGGGCGGGGGAGACGCATACGAACTGCGCCACCGGGACGAGCTCCATATGGGGCCACGAGACGCTGTACTTGGTGGGGGAGACGCATGCGAACTGCGCCACTGGGACCTTCGGTGGCGCTCCCTCTGGGGCCACGAAACGTTGTACTAGATGGGGGAGACGCATGCCAACTGCGCCAGTGGGACCTTCGGAGGAGTTTCCCTCGGGGGCCACGAAACGCTGTACTGGGCAAGGGGGACGCATGCGAACCGCGCCGGTGGGATCTTCGGTGGAGCGGCGCTCCCTATGGGGCCACGAACGGCTGTGCTGGGCTGAGGGGACGCATGCGAACTGCGCCATCGGAACCTTCGGTGGAGCTCCCCATGGGGCCACGAAGCGCTGTACTGGGTCGGGAGACGCATGCGAACTGCGCCACTGGAACCTTCCGTGGAGCTCCCTATGGGGCCACGAAGCGCTGTACTGAATGGGGGGGACGCATACGACCTGCGCCACTGGGACCTTCGGTGAAGCTCCCTATGATGCCACGAAATGATGTACTAAGTGGGGGAGACGCACGCGAACTGCGCCACTGGGACCTTAGGTCGAGCTCCCCATGCGGCCATGAGACGCTGACGGTGACGATGGTGATGATGATGACGATGATGATGATGATGCTGATGATGATGACGATGACGATGACGATGATAAGGATGAACCTGGTGATGATGCTGATGATGATGCTGGTGATGATGCTGATGATGATGATTATGATGATGATGATTATGATGATGATGATTATGATTATGATGATGATGATGATGATGATGATGATGATGATGATGATGATGATGATGATGATGATGATGATGATGATGATGATGATGATAGGGGATGTGGATGACGATGACGATGGGAGGAGGGAGGAGGGGGAGGAGGAGGTGGAGGAGGAGGAGGAGGAACGCGGGGCGGTGTCTCGTCAAAACGAGGACCCAACACCACAGGATGGTTGAACAAAAAACGACGGACAGTCTCCAGCACTCTAGGAGGCAACTACTGGGAGGTCTTCGTCGGAAGGATCAGGGAGAACTGAACCTCATTGGGGGGCTGCTACGCTAGATAAGGCCGCGGATTAGGGGGAATAAGCCGGATTAAGCTGAGTTAAGCAAGATCAAACGGGATTAAGCCGGATTAGACCGGATTTCGGACCAGGGCAAAGTCAGAATTTGACCTCCCAGGGGTTGCATCCGAAAACGCTCGTTTGCCTCTGGGGGGGACCTGCCGGGCCCTAGGACCGCCAGCACACGGATTGGAATGCCGAGGCGAGTCGGGGGAAGGGGCCGAGACCTCTGAGGGTCCACGGTGCGAAACAAAATCGCGACGTCGGGAGTCTGGGACTGCTGGAACTGCACGAGCGCCCAAAAAACTATGCAGAGGCCACAAAGGCGAGCAGGACGCTGGCGCTAAAGGCCGCAATGCTCGACAATGCGCGCACGTTTCGGTGCAACAGAAAAGATTGGGGAGGCAGGAGAAAGAGAAGGAGGAAGGAAGCGGTGGAGGAGGAAGGAGGCGGGAGGAACAGAGGGGGAGGGAGAAGGGAAGAGATGAGGACCAGAA